GAAAGATGTTAAATTTGCCATCACTCCTTCAGCTGCTATATTCGTAATACTCTATTTTTTTTAGATGTAATGCCAATGTAACATAAAACTAAGTATAATGTTTTTTGTTTTTTTTAATGAAAATACACAAAAACTATATTCACGATGTTAATAATTGTGGAAACACATATTCACAGTCTATGAAAAGGGTCCATTAGAAGATTTTAAAAATATGTAATTTTGCACATGCTTAATCAGGAGCGAGTGATGCAGTTGGTCTCTGCAGACAATTAAGATGCGTGCTCTCCTGCAATCACGGAGAGGGCAGGGTTAAATACTTGACCTCTCGCATTCAGCATCATCCATCCATCTCGCAGGGCTGACCACGACGCAGGCAGACGCAGGACAAGAAAAATGAATGCTTCTTTCTGCTCCTTATTTCATCTGCTCTATTGTGATGGACACAAATCGGAGCGGGGATGCCCTCATGGATCTTCAGGGGGTCTTTGTGAGGGAGTCTTCTCTGATTTGGTTCCTCTATTCATGAGGAGAACTGCATATCTACACACACACACACACACACACACACACACACACACACACACACACACACACCTGCTCGCTCACTTCCACTTCCTATCCAGTCATCAGTTTACTGGGTACGTCTGGGGATGCGAGTCTAGACTAGGCCGCTGCGTGCGTGTGCGTGTGTGTGTGTGTCTGTGTGTGAACTTTGCGAGCGTGTGACGCAGAATGACTGTAGCCCTGCTGCGTCTTCACGCCACTCTGACAATTTTGATACAAATCGGCTATGAAGGCTGAGGTCAGTGTAACGTAAATAACAGAGAAAACGAGTTCAGCCAAAGAATAAGGAGTTTTGAAAAGCCAGCGGTCACACAATGGAGATCTGCAACGGGCCCGGGCTGGATGCTGAAACACATGGTAATTCATTTTCGAGTAAAGCTTTCTTAAATTTGAATTTGAAAAGAAACAGCAAAGAAGAAAGGGTGATTAAACGGGCAAAAAAAACTGTACAAAAGGAACAGGGCGCTTGTGGGAAGGCGAGCAGCTCATAACACTACACAACCCAGCTGTTTACAACTATTAGACCCTAAAGGACAAATCCCAATGCATGATCTCCCTGCACTTCACACATTTTCAGACGCATGAAGCTTGTGTTTCACTGGGACTGGGGTGGGCGGTATGACCACAACCTTACATCATGCTATGAGATATTATTTCACGGTAACTGAATACATTAAAATAATTTTTGCTGGAAATTCAACCCCATAATGTTGAATATATTACATCATCATAGCATATGTCTGTTTTTGTCCATATAATAGATTGATATTACACGATAAAAAACTTTTTTATTTAAAATATGAATCTATCATTCTGTCCATTATTAATCTATTATTATATCCACAAAAATAGTCAGATGCTAATTATAATTAACTATTATATGATATAAAAACAAACAAAGTGTGTGTGTTTATAATAAAATAATTGATTATTTTTCTAAATTTCTATAATTTTTTTAATAATCTATTGATGTAAATGATGTAATTTATTGATGTAAATTGTTTTACTTTAATATATTATTGAACACACATACATATTTGAGTAGAAATAAAGAATTAGAAATTAATAGAAACTATAATTGTGTTTTTCAATCAAATTTATTTAATTTTTTTCAACATTATCTCTTGACTTAAATACTGGTATGTATACTTGATGGATGCAAATCACAAGATAAATTTTAGAGATGCACCGATTGCAATTTTCTTGGCCAATTCCCGATTTTTTTTTGTTAGTGTGATCTGACGATACCGATTTTTGCCGATTCCGATTTTCTTTCTAAGTACTATAATTGACAGCATATACAAACAAAAATCTACTTTTCTTCAACGCAAAGTTTTATTTTCATAAAAAAACAAGTAAAAAGTCAGTAAGCCTATAACACGCTCTCACACATTTATAATTTTATCATTTTGGGAGGAGTAAAATTTACATATGTGGTTTCAACAACCAGATGCATTTACACTTGTCGAGTTTCGTCTGGAATGCGGTCCAGACCACATCCTGAAGTGGTTTGAGCGATCGGATTTATATCCATCTCTAATGCGTTTCGGAGGGCATTTACACCTGGTCTTTTCACGATCTGTTTGAGACTGAGCGCGGATTGTGCGCTCCACTAACATTGATCAGTTCTGGTGCGCGCGCTTTTGGTGTAAGTGCGAAACCTGCGGGAATGACTAAAATAATGTGCAATACAAGCATTTAACCAGAGCGAATGAGACGTGTGTGAGAGAGAAGGGGTCGTCGGAGAGAAGAGAGCGAGAATGCGCGGCTGACGTTATTGCCTGTGCCGCTGGTAACAAAACGGATCGGATCGGACCTAACATCTCTAATAAATTTAATAAGAAATTTGGCATCAGTGCAAAAACACATGATGCAAGACAGCTAAAATCAAGGCTGCAATAGTGTAATACATTGTAAATATAAAAAACATTTTAAGTCACTGTAAAAGAGCTGACAATGACGTTAAAACCACAGCTTTGAAAAAATTGTTGTATAAATGGTCTAACAGATTGGTGTGTTGACACATTCATACCGTTTCTTGATATATAGCATCATACCACCCAACCCAAACTGTGACGCTGCATGAAACATTTGAGAAAGTGTCCCAGCAAACATTTCCACTCTGGTGAGTCGACTGAGGCACTGACTCCAAAAACATTCTTAGATCCCAGACGGTCGGACGTCACCACTTTCATTCATCATGAAAATGTCATCTTCAGCACAAGTAAATATGAAAGACTAAAGCTGTTAGGCACTAAAGGCAAGATGCAGATGGTCCCCCGGAGATGACGGAGCAGGTCTGAGGCGCGTCTCGTCTGTGCTGTGCATCTGATCAACAAATGAAGGGTGTTTTATGAGTCAGTGACTCACGAGTCACAAACATACCTCAGCTTGATGATAAATGGATTACAGGAATTCTACTTTCTCTAGGTTACACTAGGTCATGATGGGTCACAACGACTGACTAGCTGTCCAATAACCCATTAGTGCATGAGACCAACTTAAACCAGGTCAACTTTTAAAAAGTGCACCCCAAGACACTTGAAGGATATGCCCTGTCGCTAAACACCAACTGAAGTGATTCACCCTCAAAGTAAGGTTTACCATCAGAAAAGCTTCTGCAGTCTCACCAAGTTCATGACTAAAGCCCAAAGTCACTACTTTCACTATGATGCTCTACCAAAAACACAAGTCACCTGATCAATCAGAGCTGCTGTTTTTGCCACAGGTTTCAGCCTGATTCATACTAATCCAAACATCTTTTCAATTAAAAAAAGAGACAGAAAAAGACAGAAAAAAACAAACTTTGCAAAACTGTGTGGCGGCATGTGTCACATTAGATCAAACTTATCTAATCTCACTTCCTGAGAACTGACTGTGAAATGACTCAGTCGTGCAGCACTTCAAGGGCAAAACAGGACCCCAAACATCCATTGCTTAAGGAAATATGATATCTTGCAAATCAATATCAGCTTTATATGAGCATAGGTTATAATGTAAAAAAATATATATTTTCAGAAGAGTCATATAGTGAAGTATGGGTCACAATGTTACATACACTATTACACAAGTAATAAAAACATATAACAAAGACATGCAAAGTAAAGAACATTTAAGTAAACTCAATCCATAAGTTCTCAACATGTGCTGCAAACAAAGCAGGTTTCCCAGAATAATTTATAGTAGTACATACTGTAAAACTCTCACCGACATCAAAAGCTCTGTGATCACAAGGCATGATAAATATGATCTTCAACAATACTAATATACATGTATCCAGCTGCAGAAAATCGCACAGAGGAACCAGGTGCAATGTGAATCAATGCATTTTATGAAAGGTATAATGAAAAGCAGAAATTTAAACTAAAGCCTGGAGGATAGAAGTGACTAAGAAAGCAAAATGCAATTTAACTGAACACCTCATAAAGTGAGTTTACATGTGAACAAGTTCTCAGGATCTGAGTCACTACAGCAGCTTATTATGCTGTGTCTGATTCTTTCTGTCCTAAAACAGATAGATAGATAGACTGACTAATGACTATCTATGACTTTTGCTGTAATAAGTTATAATTTTAAAATTTTTATACACTTTGTCACTCACAAAAATATTTCCACCAAATTGAAAATGTAAATATTTTTATTACTTACATTAAAAAAAATTAAAAAAATACATAGACTACAGAAATTTCCATAACTTTTTCATACATTGTTTCCTGTAACTTTTCCATGCCTGAAAAAATCACCAAAAAAAATGCTAATTTCTTCCAGATTTTTCATGACTATGGGAACATTAGACAGAGGTACAGATTGAGGTAGAGGTGGAAAAACATAAAGAGATTGAGGAATTGATGATGGAGAGATGATGGACTGATCTACAGAGGGAAAGAAAATGGAGAGATAGATGGAGATAGAGACAGAGGAACAAACAGAGAGACTGACAGAGTGAAATATATATAAAAGGAGTGAATAGGGAGATAAATGAACAGATGGAGGCAGAGGGAAAGATAGATGGAAGAGAGATGGAGATAGTGACAGGATAACAGAGAAATAAAGCGGGATAGATGGAGTACAGACAGAGGAATAAACAGGGGGACAGAAGGAAAGATCTGCAGATAGAGAAACAAACTGATGTACACAGGGCTGCATCTATAGAGTCAGATAAGTGGGGTAAAGAGGGATATAGGGTTAGATCTACAGAGATAACGTTAGAGGGGTAAACACAGAGATTGAGTGTTACTACATCTAACGTTAGAGAGGGAGCGCAGCTGGGCGCCTGGGACTCATCTACTATTGTTTTGCTCCAACTGCGCCTTTTCAAATATCTCTGGTGGTGATAAAGCAAACTGAAGCCGGCAGGCCGGTAGCACGAGTGAGCGGCGAGCGGACGGCGTGTGAGTGTGAATGTGCAAGTGTGTGTTTAAGAGAGAGTTTCTCACCTGGAATAAGTAAGAGCTCCAGCTCTGCTCCATCATCGCGTCTCACTCACAGAAACAAAGCGCTCAACATGGCAGAGCAAGACTTCCGCCACCCCGCGGAACGTACCACTCGCGGGAGGGGGGAATACAACAGCAGTCTGAACGATTTAATGAATAAAACACTATCCGGTTTTACAATATGGTACTTTAAAAACACATTTATACACACCTTATGGTACAACACACTCTGTCTATGCTTCGGGGGTAAATGTCATGAAGTACTAACTACAGTGATTTTCAAAACATCCCTGTTTTTCATCTCCATCTCGACAGACTCTGGGGGCGCTCCAAAAAACAGGAGTGAAGTTGATGAATAGCGTGGAACTGTCGCGAGACTCGTCATAACTCACTGCGCGAGACTGAATGCAGGATTTATCTGCATTTATACGATTAGACGTGCTCTATCTGTATCTGTACATGTAAAGTCTATTTTATACATTTAAATACAACATTATGCATATTAAGTCTTCATATATGTGCCTGTTAGTGTTGCGGATTTTAGTTAATCTAAAAGACTTGAATCTTTTCACTAACAAAATTTGTTCCGACTCGTTTATTGATTCATTCAGTGTCTCTGTCTGCAGGTTGCTCCAGTATTGAATGATTCATTGAATCATTCACTTAACCGAATCGATGGGATCAAGCATCCTCGTTTAGTTCATTCATGAACGAGATGTCCTAGTTCGTTCGGTTCGTTCAAAACGAGATGCTTCTGAGATGAGTCATTGCATGGAAGTGAACGAAAACGACTCGTTCGTTTAAAAGATTCGTTCAAAACACCGAAGCACCAGATGCAGCAAACCTACATGGGACAGAGTTGTGTGCATCTTTTAACCTGATTTATTGCTATAAATCCCCCAGCAGACACACGAGAATGATTAGCTGAAGACGTGGTCTATTTTAGGATCGTTTTATAATTAAGAGCAACACACAGGGCGAGTCCTGAACTGAATTAACTTAATAACCCGATTTATGATCAGCGGGGTGCCCTTTTAATAGGCCACAGAGAGATTAAAAGGTCATGTTTTATAAGAATGTTTTTTTCCAGAAGTAGTTTAGTAGCTTTTGTGTGTGTGTGTGTGTGTGTGTACGTGGCTACCAAACATTACACGTTAAATGCTAAAAGCATTTAATTAGAACTTCAGTGAAGATTTCAGTCTTTCAATTTGTTATGTCCATTAAATAATAATTTTTAAAAAATAGCTTAATCATTTTACTAAATATAATAATGGCATATTTTACCTTTAATACAGCTCCATTTTCTGGCATTCTTTGTGCTGAAGGTTTTACGATAAGTTTTTTTTTTTTTTAATGGAAATATTATATTTTTTATGAGTGCAACAAAAATTTAAATAAAGCAGCATTAGTAGTGAAGAACTGCACAGTGCTGTTTCACAGAAAGCGTCTGTTATATTTGACCAACCATACCAGTCTATTCTTGTACTAGACCTATTTATTGTTTTTCATTACTATTATTATTTCAATATAGGGCTAATTGATTAATACATATAGCTATTATTCTCTTACAAATGATCGAATAATACAAATTACTATCTAAAAATGTATTTTATTTTTATTTTAGTTTAACTGGTTGCGTATTTAAGCACTATACTCTGCTGCACATCAGAAAAACTAAAATTTGAACTTAGTCAAAGTATCTCGACCTAAAACGCTCTAGGTTCCAAAGTCATGCAGAAGGGATGAACTGATGTGCTCAACTCTTCTTGATGGGATCATATCCAGCAGGGCAGTGATCCGAGAGCGCGCTCAGCTGGTGTGAGCGTCCCACTGACCGTCAAACGCTCCAGACGCGTTTCCTCAGGACCGGTGCTGCAATTCAGTGCGCACCGGGCATCGCCACACTATTTCAACACTGTTTCAACGGTAAGTTTGCTTATCTTTAGCGACATTTGTGTTTACTTCACTGTACAGGTGAACAGACTGTCTGTCTGCGTTGATGCGGAATAAATAGGCTTAAGAGGAGAGCATTACGCGCACCAAAACATTCCCCTTAAAGTCATCATGATATACATGATCTAGAAATTATTGCATATAAATGCAGGATATGAGTATAGAGGTTAATATTGCACAATTAAGTAATATATTAAAAGCACAAAGAGTTTCATTTTTAAAGCCTCGTAGATTTACATTAAGAGCTGAATCAATAAGAGTTGAATTCAACTTTACATGATAGACATGATTCTGCAGGTAAGGTCAAGTGATTTCGTAGCACAAGTATAGTTACATAGATATGAGATTCCAAATATACAGTTTAATTTAATTCGAAGAGGAAGCGTTCAGGGGGCGATGAGATGAAGAGTTTCAGGAAGTGATTCATTCTACTCGTTGTTTGGATAATCGTGACAACTGATCGTTTTAACATCATCACTGATTTATGTCGCTGTGTTTTACATAATGTTTATGTCATTGTTGTATACGTTTTATAATTGTTGTCGATGATAAACGTTGTACGGATCGCTTACCGATTTTGTGTACCTGTCAGGAAAGGTAAGAACAGCCAATGAGAGTGTGCGACGTCACATAGGGGTCTACCGTCACGTGTACACTTTCTTTACTCTTTTGATTAATAAATTATGTGTTTTTTTTAGCTGTGTTAACCCATGAATTACCGAAATGATTGATATGAACATTGTCTGGTGCAATATATTATTGTATATTTTATATTTCAAACATAGGCATAGCATTTTTATATATGTTTTATATAATATTTATTGATAGAATGTTTTATTTATTTATTATTATTATTAATATTATAATTCTTTTTAATATTGAATATTATTGTTATTATTAATAATAATAATTTCAGTTTATTAAAAAAAAAAAGGGCATTTTAAACCCCGTGACTACTACAGTCATTGCAAATAGAAGGAAACATTAAAACAATGTGTTCTGTTTGTCGATCTGTTGTTTTAGTGGAGGGCTTCACCTGTTGCTGAGGTGCCCTTGGTGCTGTGGAACCGGTGCTGGTCATGACTGAATGCCAACATTGATCTGTATGCTGTGAAGAGACCAACATCTGGTGGATTCTACATTTGGGCCCAACCATGTTCCACTTGATCAAGAAAGATAAAGACAAGGAGAAGGATGGAACAAAAAAGGAGAAGAAGGAGAAGAAAGAGAAACAAGAGCGAATGTCTCAAGCCGAGCTGAAGAGCCTAGAGGAAATGAGCATGAGGAGAGGTTTCTTTCATCTTCATCGAAGCAGCTCTAAACGGGAGGCGAAAGGGAAACTGGAGATTTCCAGCCCCATTCCCATCAAGGTCGTCCGAAACACAGAGCTCAGCCTGACAGACGCGGACCTCAGGAAACTCTATACTCAGGGTACCATAACACCCACGAGCTCCAGTGATGACATTAAGCTGGACCAAGACGTCCGCCGATCATCCATCAAAGAACAGGCAGTCAAATACGACTCCATGAGGAAGCAGAATTCCCCAGTCGAACAAATCTTGAAGCGGTTTTCTTTCTCACAGAAGAGCAAAGATGAAAGCCCTTCAGGGTCAACTGCACCATCAGCGCAGAACTCCGCCATTCCCTCACCTCAGGTAGTGGTCAAGGTGTTCAATCCCCCACCTCTATATACACCTCACCGTCCCACCAGCCCTGCAAAGAGCATCCAAGTCCCAGAGATAGTGGACCGAACGTTCCCAGCAGACTTGCGCTTGCCTGCTGTGGCACCTCCGCAAATTCCTGCACCAAGAGAGTTGGAAATTCAGCGCCGCAACACGGGCGATTTCGGCTTTTCCCTTCGTCGTACCACCATGGTGGACCAGCGGCCCGATGGGTCGCTCTATCGAAAGGTGGTCCACTTTGCCGAGCCTGGCGCTAGGAATCAGGACCTGACTCTGGGGCTGGTGCCAGGCGACCGTCTGGTAGAGATCAATGGGAGGAACGTGGAAAGTAAAAGCAGGGATGAGATCGTGGAGATGATCAGGCAGTCTGGAGACACAGTATGTCTGAAGGTGCAGCCCATCGTGGAGTTGAGCGAGCTGAGCCGCTGTTGGTTGAGGAACACCAGAGGCCCGTACCGCGATGTTTACGAGGTGAGATGTGTTATGGTTTTGATATGTTGAATCGCACATCGAAGACTAACTCTTCTAACACAGACTAACACACTGGGCAATGGAGTTGCATGGGTGCAAGCTCTTCTTCTTCACATAATGTTCTGTTGTCTCCCCACCATCCACTAGGCCAATAAAACCCAACGAAATGCTGTCAGTATAATCTGATAAATAGTGTTTTTTAGCTAAAAGTGCAGTTTGGATCGTACATGTTTGGCATTTTGACATTTCTCAGGAAAACTAATGCAGTTTGAGGGTACGTTTCAGCAACATTTCAGATGGAAGATCAGTTACAGCCTTGAGGTATTCTGGGAATTCAGAGCAATATGAGTGTGTCTGTTGACATCTGAAAAGACCGTTGTGCAGAGAGCTGTTGATGATGTCAACAGTTTCAGTGAGACAGCTCAGGGGGGTTAATAACCTGTCTAATGCGTTTTTGTCGCTCACCCATAATGCATCTGTATTTGTGTAGAGTCCCATTGTGAAAGACAGTAGAGTCCCATCTGAGTGGAACAAATGGCAAAAAAGCAGAAAAAGTCCATATTGTTATCTAAAATGCTGTTAAATGGAGAAGTTCTGAGTCAGAAAGAGTCTTTTATTTGTTCACTGAATGTTTTGTGATATTTACCCTACATAACTTTAGAATAGAGCATGGTGCTAGCAACGCCAATGGCATGGGTTCGATTCATATAGGGAATGTATGAACTTATAAAGTGTATACTTTGAATGCATTGTAAGTCGCTCTGGATAAAAGCATCTGTGAAATGCATAAATATAGAATTTGGATGTAGAAATGGATTAGAAACTATTCCTGAAGGTCTAATCATATCTTCTGAGATCTCTGTTTCAATGTTTGCAGCAGAATTAGAGACTTTTTACTTGTCTGCTCTCTTGGCTTTGCTGTATTCCCCAGTTGCTCTCTGACACATTTTCATCTCTGTATCCTGGTACAGCTCAGCAAACGGCCCCGTTTCAGAATGTGGCCTTACAGCACTTTTAGTATATTTTAGTCTTATGACGTAACGCATTGATGGGTCTTTTGATAACAGAGAGGAAAACACTGAAAATTAAGATTTCTGTGATTTTTGTAGTCAGTCTGAAGGTCAGGCGCTCCGGGTGAAAGCAGATGTGATGTCAGCTGTGTTTGTTTCTGTAATCGTCTGTCATCGTGATTCCTCAGATATTTCAAAACACCAGTGCCCTTGTCTCAGACAAAAAATGTCACAAGCTCAAAGTCACGTAGGAAGTTAGAGTGGTTACATTTCCCTATTATTATTAGAGGCTTGATATTTATGCATAAATAGTACAAATCTTAAGTTCAGTTGTTTAAAAAAAAAAAACGAGTATATATGTCAGTTTTTGTTAAACATTTATATTCATATTTTAAGGGTTAAAATTCACATTTTTATTCGCAACTGAAATGGAAACTGTCCCTTGCATTCTCTTGTAAGTTTTTTAAGCAATTTGACAGACTAATCTATAATTATGGAGTTATTTTGACTAATAACGACATTTTCTAGTATTCTGGTATGTTGAATGTTACAGAAGATCTGGAACATATTTTTAAAGAAACGTCTTATTTTTCCAATATGTTTCCAATGTGACTGCAAACCATTTGAACAAATTGAGAAAAAATGACATCCAAACTCTGATATGTTAATTTGATCTGGCTCAGCACGAAACCAGAGCTCAGAAGAGATTAAAGTGCATTGAGTGCTTTATTTGTGATGTGTAGAATAACGTGGGGGAGGTAAAAAAATAAAAATAAATAGAATACTGTATTTCTGTACTGTAATATTTGTTCTTTTGAACCGTAAGAGGTTTATCCTAATGCAGCTGAGAGGATCTGGCCTGATCGGACAGAGCAGCTTTTTACACGAACAGCATTTTATCTAATGGAGTGAAAATAGGAAGAAACAGGTGTTTGAAGAGAATGTTTTGGTCAAGCTAATCAAATGAGGTGGCATGGATCACATGAGTCAGCAATCACTCCTGCTGAACCTGTTGTCGTGTTGGTTTGCTTGAGTTTGAATAGGAGTGTGTGTGGAGAGAACTCTTTACATGCCTTCTGCTAATGGATAACCAGTGAAATCTCAGTGTCAAAGTCTGAGTGTTATTTTAGAACACCATCAGCATTAAAGCATGTCAGACCATTAGAAATGTTTTATAGCCAGCCACGTGTAAAAATGTAAATGAAAAAAAAAAAGCTTGGGAAAACTTTCTCATAAATTTCATTAGAAACATTAACATGATTGCTTTATATTATGTATGTGAAATTATGTATATATTTTATTCTACATAATTAATTTCTCCATGAATTTCTCCCTTATTGATAACTGTGGGTCTACATTCTGTTCTGATATAAACTCAAAAATGTGAGATATAAACTCACAATTCTCAGAAGAAAAGTCCGAATTGTGAGATATAAACTTGCAGTTACAAGAAAAAGGTTATAATTTTTTTGTGGTTGAAACAAAAACTGAATTGTGAGATGCAAACTTAAAATTCAAAAACAAAAAGGCAGAATTGTGAGAAAACATTTTATATATTTTATATCACAGTTTATATCTTACAATTTTGACTTTTCTTTTTTTTATCCGTTGGTGGAAACAGGCTTTCATATAAATCCTATAGTTGCCTATATGCATAGACATTTATGCAGTCTAGATGCCTTTGGGGCAAATTTGCCCCAATAATGCCCCAAAAACCAGAGCACATCAATCAGAAGAGATGCTAAGAATCTAGGACATTCAAGTTATGTTGACCAGGTTTTCTCCCAGTTACTTATACTAAATACCAATAACTCACAATATTAAATTTTATGATAATGATACAAAACGCTTATCCTCATACCGTCCGTCTCAAATGACGATGTTATCGGGATAGGAGAAGTCAAATCAGCCGCTGTAATAAACTGCACCCTTTGTGATAAAGTGGCCAGGCTCACCTATAGCCTGCAGGGGGCAGGAGTCCCACTGGGGTTTTTACTGGCCCACTTTAAGTCGAGCAAAGAAAAAGACATGACACATTTGGGATTGGCCTAGAAGCGGTTATTCTATATAAAGACTGAGATACAGAAATCTAGACTATGCCACTGTGGAGAGCTGCATGGTGAAACTGCATGATGAAAAATATAGTAAAATGTAGACAGTTGCACACTTTTGTTTGTTGTTCAGTGCAAAAAGATTTTCCGCCTGCTTCTAAACACTTGCACTTAAGTTTAACCAGAGGCTAAATGTGTTGTAATAGTCCCGCAGTCATTGTCACTGTCAAACACGCTATGCAAATTAGGATCAGTATAGATCATTTATTCACAAAAGCTTTTTTTTTTTGCCTGGTGCAACTTGCTTGACCTTTTTGAAAAGGAAAAAACCTTTACAGCGAAACCTTTGTTCCCATTCACACATTCCCATTTAGCGTGAATTGGATGCTAAAATAGTGCAGACAGCATGTGCATGTTATTTTAGTATTATTTATATAGTATTATAGTATTTATTAATCTTTGTTATATTTATTCAAATTTGAATTAGCTTTTATTTTTATAAGTTTTAGTTCTTTTTTACTTTTGTCATTGTATTTGTTTATTTTATTTATTTATTTTCCGGGTTTTTTTTTTTTTTCAGTTTTAGTAATTTTAGGATTTTAACTTATTTCAGTTAGTTTCCAAGGCAACATTTCTTTTAAGCCTTAATTAAAGATTTGATTACTGTAAAGCTTTAATTTAGCCTTCATTTCAATTACCAAAAACAATTTTTAATATCACTGGGTGCAAATGATTCATAGTGAGTTCCCTCCAGAACTGAAATGGAAGGCAGATCCTCTTATGTCATGCAGCAGGTATGTCAGGTATATGTTCAATCATGGTGTGTCTGTGAATGTGACAGGAAACGCTTGTGATTTGTTTGACAGCTTTGATTGTTTGCGCTGATAGTTACCAGACGGACAGGTTTCAGCTGCATTACTGTAGTGAGAAGAACTACACTTAAACACACACCCTCTCCTGTCCTCTTAGCTGAAGGATTGGCCTCTGAATGAATGAATCAACATGCTCTTATATGCTCTTTTGTGTGTGACTGCTGAATCTGTTGGGAAATCTGAACACAAAAATGTTTTTAGGGTTTATTTGACTTGAGAGTTATGAGCATGTTTAGAAAGGTTTTCCTTTGCTCTTTTGAAATACAAGTGTTCAGTGTACTATGTAGACATTCTTTAAAGTTTACAATGCAATGTTTGCTAACCTAAAACCACCCACACTTGTATATCAACACCTATTCAGTATTTAGCAACTTGGCCTGTCCTGATGAACAACAATGCAAACAATGCTGATACGCAAAGGTTAGCCAGTCATAAGCAATATGATTGACATGTACAGTACATGTAGTCTTAAAGGGATAGTTCACCTAAAAATGAAAATCCTGTCATTAATAACTCATGTCGTTCCAAACCCGTAAGACCTTCGTTCATCTTTGGAACACAAATTATGATATTTTTGATGAAATCCGAGAGCTTTCTGACCATGCATAGACAGCAACACAACTACCACTTTCAAGGCTCAGAAAGGTAGTAAGGACATTTGTAAAACAGTCCATGTGACATCAGTGGTTCAACCGTAATTTTACGAAGCTTTGAGAATACATTTTGTGTGCAAAGAAAACAAAAATAATGACTTTATTCAACAATTCTTCTTTTCCGCATCACCGTCCCCCGCCATTAAACTCTTCTATTAAAAACAAAATATCTTACAGACCCCAAACATTTTGTAGCTGTGAAAATATTTTATTTTCAAATTGTGCATTACCAACAGTCTAGACTTGATCAGTCTAACAGTTAATTCGGTGCATGTCTATGTCAGTCAATGTTTGCATTGCTATTCTAAATAACCCCCACTAAGTTTTATGAACACTATTCTGTATTATTTCTTTGGGCTCAATGGCTCTCTTTTTTCGTGTGCCCTGTGAGGGTTCAACAGCCTGTGGACTATG